TTCCAGGTATAGAGCCTACCTATTGGAGATTTGCCTTGAATTTGTCCCCCTCCAACAGCTACAGCTGGGAAAATAAATCAGAGAGGTCAGGTAACCCGCTTGCCCTCTATCCTGCCATGCCCCACAACCTCCTACCGCTGCAGCCCTTTCCCCTTCCTCCTTACTATCAGACCCCACTCTCCCTGACCACATAGAAGTGAGGGGCAAATTTGAAAACACTGACCTTGAATAAATATATGCAAATTACTATATGAACCCACAGACTTAGTTTATCCTGAATTGATTAATTTTACCTCTTTTTGAAACCTCTGCAAGTTTCAGCACAGGTACTCCATAAACAGTCTTAAGTGAAATTTTTATACCTAGTTATATATAGTACAGACTATGCATGATATTAATCCAAAACAAAAGGCTCATGATTTACCATATAGTTCACTGGGCTGGACCCCAGGAGAGTAAACAGTGTTTCAAGCCATGGTGACCCCATAGCTCAGCACTGCTCAGTATGTGTGTGTACTCTATATACCCTCCACAAACGATCTGTGTGATAATTAGCCCACATTCATGACTGGAACTGGATGTTTCTGTCACAAGTCCTGGGACCCTCCAAAAATGTATATGTAGATAAGGGGCAGAGTAATCTGGTTTGGCTCCACCTCATGGAGGACAGGCCCACACTAATCATATGCAACAGGCTGGAAGAGGGCGTGACAGAAAAATTCTGGGTGAATTGTTTGGGGCCTCATTTGGTGATGTTTGCCAAACATTTAAGACTGGTGAAGAAACAGTAATCATTAGAAAGAAAGGTGCAGTTCAGCTATAGGAGTGAAGAGGAAGTTGAAATGTATTCAATGTAGTGGTTGACTATGACTTGAAAAAGAGTCAGTGCTGATGGGGACTGCACGCAATACACACTACCATATATCTTATTCAGCAGGGTTGTATTAATTGATGCTGGTGGTAAGTTCCCATTCATATGTTTGCACAATATGGGCCATGTGTTTTAAAGTCATGTTCAGTATTGGCTGCATTTAATCAGCTTCAGAGCTGGTTTCCATTACTGAACACATGCTGCTTTTGGCAGCAGTTTAATGATGATAGGCAAAATATTTAATGAGGTTTCTCTGTCCGCAAATATAATATGAGGACCTTTTCTCCCAGGCTGATTGTGGGGGAAACCTCATCTTGTATTTGAGTAAATATGGTAACTGAAAATCAGTGGATTCAGAAGTTCTAGGTTTAAAAAAACTGTAACATTATCCATTAGATGGTTTAACCCAAGTATAAATGTTTTAGTTTGCAGAGACCATTATCTCAGTGAAGGCCTCTTACTTAGCAAGACCAATGGGTCGCCAACTGGTTAGAGAGTCGCACCCAGAGGGTGGTAGTGGATGGG